GGTCCCATACATTGTAAGAGGTTGAAACCAGACGTCAACCCGTTGGTTAAATTTTGTTAATGTGGCTTAAGATCTGGTCGTTCTACCATTGAACAAATATTTACTACTGTGAATCCTAAAAAAAGCCCAAAAACATAACATTGATACCCATCACCAACTTTTTTCTAGCTTATGAAACCGTTAACAAAATAATCCACAAAAAAAAAATTTTAAAATCGAAAAAACTTTTCGTCAATATATTAAACAATTTTTTTAAAAAATTAGAAGTTTTTCAAAGCAACATTTGATGCACTCTTAAGAAACCAAACCGTCTGAACCATTTCCATATAAATTCAATTAATGCTCTCCATATCTTTTTATACCATGCAAGATTTTAGTTCTCTGAAAGTTGAAATTAACTACTTAGTCCGAGATATCTTTGAACTCATCTTAAAACTGATTATAATGAAATCAAATCGTCAATAATACCACACTATTCTACATATGTGTCCTGCTATTTCTATAATCTAACGATATCGAAATCATAGGACGTAGCATGTGCCAAGCAACTATAGTCATTGCTGCTTTCGAAAATAAAACTTGGAAAAAGAATTGGCGATGAATTAAATCAAAAAGAAGTATCTGTTGGCAACTGGTAGAAATGCATCCAGATTACATCCAGATTGTTAGTGCATTTTTAACGAATATACTTTAAATACCGTGAAAAATATTATTTGTCTCAACACTAACATCAATAAAAAGAGTATCGACCAATCTGCAGATGCAACAAGAATTATTATTGCCAGTAGATGTTACTCTATGCTGAGTAGGTGATTGAGATATAATTGGATTTTATTTTGATAGGCATATCAAATAGACAATAAATTAGATATCCTTCATTTACTTAACTTCTATAACTAAGATTAGAGAAAAGATGATTAGTCATAATATCTTTGTACTTTTACCAATAAGCGATGATTAGTGAACAAAACCCTAACCACGCTTAATATATATGATAGAAGTGGATGCGCACGAAGCTCATGTCTTCAGCGTGAAAAATACTATGAAAGGTGAAAGCTCGACGATAACTTGTTAAGATCTGAGTAAAGACTAAGTTCAATGTATGTACTCAATTGTGTGAACGACATGAAAAAGACTATTGAGCAATTTGTTTAATAAAAAAAATATTATTAATAAATTAATTTTATTCAATGAGTGCCGCCAGCTAATGCTTAATACAAGTACATATTATGGTAAAAATAAATAATCGGTGATTTCATTGGTTTGCTTATTTCGTGCATATGGATTGAAACGCTCCGGCTAGAAAGCTCTTTAATTTGAACCACTTACTAGAAAATATATGTTGGAAGAAAGAGAGCATATGACAAATACTTTGAAGTCACTCGGTAGTAACAGCCATATACTACATATTACCAATGCTATGTTACTACTACCGACTTTTGGACAGTCGAACAAAATTTGGCTTTCATTTTTTTTCAACTCAAATGTTATTTCCACCTTAATTAATACTGGATTTGTAACTAGTAGTGAATCACAACAATTGTATTTTAAATAATTGAATTTTTTTGCCTACCATACGACTGTTTCGAGTATTGTCAAATACTCACCATCAGTGATCTTTAAAAATACGTGTTAGTTTTATAAGTCCGTATATAACTGTTGAACTACACGTGACAGGTTTAGAACCTATCAAAAATCAAATATGCTAAAGCTGTATGAAATTTTCGTTTTTCATATTTCAAGTTTTTTTATAACTTTCTGTTATCAGAATTGACTGTAAAAATTAAATTCAATAATTATGTTGAAGCTGTTTTGAGCTAGTGTACTTAAGCACTTATACTCTTTTTTAACTCGAGATTTCTTCAAAACCCCTCTCTACACCTTGACTAGATTATTATTTATCACTTCATTAAACTAAGCAATAATTGACCTCAGATCTGCATACCTCCCCGAGGAACCTGTAACCATTCTGAGATTTGATAACGCGGTGTTGGTAAGTCTGTCAGATTTCGATGGGATGGGATCAATCTTAATATTTAATCGTTATAAACATATATATATATATATATTATATAAATTTATAAGTAGTAGATATCAGTGACTTTTAAATAAAAACAGAATTATATAGATATTATATAGATTGTCTTAATATACATTGTACTGACTATAGATATTATTCATTATAAAGAAAACTTATGTTTAAGAATGTTATTAATTACCACTTTTATTTTAAACAAACAAGAACTGCACAAACAAAACAAAAATTAAGACGATATCCATCCCTTCTTTAAAAATTAACCCAATTCATACACTGCGTCTTCCAAGAGTAGTACTAATTATTTACAACGCCGCACACATGCGTCTGCCAATTATCGCCTGCACATCACATATATATACATTACGATGATGACAAAGGATAGAAGAACTTTGGAATTTCCCAACCAAATCAAAATCATCATTGGCAACATAAACATAAAAGTCTTCATCCTGTGCCATTTCGTCTTGACAAATTATGTTTAAGCCAATTTAAAACTTCGAAGCAGCAGCAAACAAATTTGGTTAAAAATGAAAAGAAGCGAAAGAAAGGACGATTCGCACTGCGGAGGCAACGAAGAAAGCAACTTGACATCGAGCACATTATTCACTCTCGATGGCATTTATAAAATAAAAAATTAAAAATAAAGAACCATCCTATAAAAAAAAAAGTAAGACGATAAAAAACAAACAGAAGGAAAAGAAGAAATAACCCCGTCAAAAGAAATGGAAGTGTTGTTTGCAAACAGGCGAGAGAGCAACAACACCCTTGATATTTTCGCTACACCCTTTGACGGAAACCATTAATTTTATCACTTACGGAAATGGTTGACATGACGATGAGGATAAAGAAAAAGCTGTAAAATTGCGAATTGGGAACACATTTGCTCAACATACCCGCGGAGCACACGAAAATATTTATTTAATTCAAGGCGATTTATCAATTACTCCTTAAGTCCCCTATTTGTGAAATCTTGAGAACGACAACTATCAAAGCAAAGACAATGCTAAGTAGTAGTTTTGAAAATATTCATGTGTAATGGATTTGTAAGGTGTCACAGAAAGCCTATAACAAAAACAACAACAGTATTGGGACTACAACATCTGAAAGAAAAAAATTAACATATGTAGAACGACATGGATGTCGCTAAACGGGCAATTAAAAAATTATGATTCTATTAAATTTAAGTAAAATGAAAAACTCTCTGGGAGAACATACATTTCCAGATTTCTAAAAGCTCGATCCTGAACAAATAATGCTTATCAACCAAAACTGAACCTTTGTGTTCTCAATAATACTGAAACTTCAAAAAATTTCTATAAAGAACAGCTGTGAAGGTCAAGTCTTATAAAAATTAACTTTGACAGGAAGTACACTAAGCAATAAAAGTTGTCTTACATACCGTCCCAAGATTGAAAAAAAGCCGCACAACTTAGTTTAATAAGGAATAGAAAATTACAACAAATATAAAAAATTAAGCACAAAAATCAATATTAGACAGAAATTTGAGGGATATGAGGAACTCCACAAAGTAATATTATGGACGTTAGACGAAAGAAAAAGTTTATACATAAAGCAAAGAAATGGATTTTAACAAAAGTAGGTTTAAAGACTCTTGTTTGGTTTATAAGGCTTGAGAAACTTCTATGAAAAATACGTTTAAATGGATTTTAATGTGTGACTGTAAAAACGAAGCAGATAAGGTTGTAACAAATGACATCAAATGTCAAAGAGGTGTATAAGACTTTCGGCATATTTAACAACCAAAGAAAATTAATCAGATACACCGTCGGGTGTATGGAAGAACATTTCTCTTAACTATTATCGGGCGATAATAATTAATTCTCTCAGCTCCCAATCAAAAGTTATAGTGTTGAAAGTTATAGTGTTGAAATTCCGCTATATGCATGGGCGACAAAGGTAGATGACCAACCTACAGCATTATTCAATACCGGCGGTGAGCATCAGAATATCTGCAGAACAACTTGCGCCAATTATCGCGGGATCAGCTTGTTACATGCAAGATCAACTGAAGTATCTGAAAGGTTGGAGCCATGTCAACTTACTGCTTGAGCGTTATCACCGCGGCTTTTAACCTATTCGCTTCATCATTGACAAGATATTAACGCCACGAAAAATTGTGAAAAAAGCCCACATCCATAATATCGAGACTCACCAACTTTTTGTCGACTTTTAAGCAGCTTTAAATAGCCCTATAAGGGATCACATTTACACCGGAATATCCAAACTTAGTAGCAAATTTAATACGACTCTGCTGAATGATATTAAATAGTAACCGTAGCTCCGTCAAGGTAGGATCAAGTCTTTCCGAACTTTTTGATACCATATGAGGCTTTCTATAAGGTGATCCCTTCTCATCTTCAATTTTCATCGTGGAAATAATAATGCCACATATGTGGCCAGCTCGAACACATAAACCTCATTGCGCGTAGTAAGCGTTATGTTACCGCTGTCTCTGTTGTTATAGAAAAAGCATGTGTGAAAATGAGTTTCGCGATGAATGAAGGCAAAACAAAACATATGTAGGCTACTGGTAGAAATGTGCGTTGCTCGAAAGCCAAGCTGGTAGCTGGCGATTACACTTTCTTGGCACTGCTGTAACGAATAACAACGATGTTAGCCTGCAGATCAGACAAAGTATTGCCATTGTCGATAGGTATTGATATGTAGTCGGCCTTCTACGAGTTGACAACGGCTACCGCACCCGTATGAATAACGAGTTATACGCACATTGTTACGGCATTGATATAAGGATTTATCATTCAGCGGCTTCGCTGGCTTCTTCCATGTAGTGAGAATTGATGCCGATGCTCTGGCGAAAAAAGTATTTAAAGCAGCAATTGAAGGAAATGGCCGTACATGTAGACCATGTATTCGGTAGAATGATCAAGTTAAGGAAGCAGAAAACAAGCATAAAGAGAAGTGTTGTGTCAGGCCGAAACCCAATAACGGATTGTTATGTCCATTTGAGTAAGTAAATAACTATACTGTATTATATGTTTTTCAGTTGTTCTACTTACATATTTTATGCATTCTATACGTGCAATATATTCTATGCATTCAATAAATTGTACATATTCTATATTTTCTATATATTCCGCATTTTCTATTCTATTCTGTTCTATTTTATGTATTCTATATAACCAAATAATTCGTACGTCACTTCTATATGATTGTGCAGCATTTAGCAAAGCTTCAAACTCTACTATTCACCAGCTAGAAATTGCAAAAAGCCAGGCTCTGAGAAGACTTTTCAAAGTTCCATGGTACATTAGGACGAAAGACATCCTCAGGGACATCAAGATTGATCCCATCAAAAAGTACATAAAGGATAGAGCCCTGAAATTATTTGCGAAATCTGACAGATCTGATAACCAACACCACATTATCAAACCATAGAATGGTTACGGGCTCCTCGGGGAGGTATGCAGATCTGAGGTCAATTATTGCTTAGTCTGATGAAGTGATAAACAATAATCTAGTCAAGGTGTAGAGAGGGGTTTTGAAGAAACCTCGCAGTAAAAGTGCTCAGGTGCACTGACTCAACTAGCCTCAACATAATATATATCCTATATATGTTAAGTATTGTATATTCTATTCTATATATACTTTGTATATCTCCATACACACACTTTTTATGTAGTCTACACATTTTAATTTATCACTAGATTTATTTATACTAAACTTAGACTCCATTTATACTTTTCTTTATACGTGTATGACTATATAATCTCAATTATCTGCATATAAATTGACTGAATGTTCTATTTTAGAACGACATAAATATAAACTTTCATCTAAGAGAGGCTCTATGAAGAGTTTACCATAGATATACAGCATATAATTAGTAGGAAACACTAGTCCTTAACACAACGTATTCCTGAGATAATAGGGAAGTTTTATTAGGATAAAATAAATTAAAAGACTAAAAAAATAAATTTAATATTAGTATTAAATAATTAAAAACAAATTGTTTTAAAAATTGACTTCGACGCATCCTTACTTTTAAAGCACTGATAGAACTGTTTTAATATCAAATTAAAAGATATTATTCAATGAACTCAAAAACTGATATTTTATGTAAAATTTTCAAATATGTTAATTTTTAGATATTTAGGTAATAATAAGTAAAAGTAATTTGTAAGACAGTTTACTTTCACCCAACATCTCGACTGATACACAAAATATATAACGATTTTTTTTATTTCAGTTTATCACTTGCTATAATTATGATATTTCTATATGTATACTAATTTATTTTACAGAAATATTTCAACATCTACATCTACAAAATTTCCGTTTAACAATGCAACAATTGAAAAACAAATTCTGTATCTAAAGAAACATTCGAACTATAGATGTCTACTCGCCAACTCACACACAGTGAAAATAAATAAACTTTTAAAGACATTTTAACACTTTACCACTTCCGTTAAACATTGCGAATGTTTGTGGTAATTTTATGGTAGGCGTGGCAGCACATAACTTCAATAATGCACAAGCAGAACAATTGCTATTCGCGTGGAATAGCAACAAGCAAAAACAGCAGCAGCCCAGCATCAGAAACATCCGCAAAGTATTTCAACCACAAATCACTCGCTCTGACACGATAAATTTACAACAAAAACAATTAATGACCAGAGAATGTGCCATGGATTTGTGGTATAAATCAGTAAATCTGTTTAATTAAAAGTTTACGCGAAAACTATGAGCAAAATTATCGCAGTAGAAGACAATTTTATATCTTTTCAATTTATGCTCACTTTAAACTAAGAGCTCACAGGATATCGCAGGACGAGCCAATTAAAAAATAATGATTTTTCTGCATCACTTTGAATGATACACAAGCGTACAAATTTTAAAAAAGTCAATCCTTCAATTGTTATAAAAATAAATTTCTATTTGTCGGATATTAACACAAAAACTATATAATGAAATTTTGAGAAAATATATGGGAACTTCAAATTATTACTTAAAAATAGTTAATGAATCGAAATAAATTAATCTTAATAAGCAAAATGAGTTAGTTTTGTTTGTTTCCCAAATTAAAATCAAATCAGCCTTCGATAACACACATTATGTTAATGCCGCTTTGGCCAAGATTAACGCCCTCCAAGCAGCTGTCATGATGAGCACGCATATAGATCAAAAATTGTATGATCACGTAGAAAAGATTGTTGCGATCATAGGCGCAACTGTGTATTTCTCCTTCACTAATGAAATTGAATTTTGGTTTTATGAGATTTGTGCAGAGTATGGCACAATTGGCCTTATTTTGAACAGCAGCAATGGTATCCTTTGCGGAGCGCTTTTCATCGCCTTTTAATATATAGCGACTATAGAAAGGCCGACCACCGCCTTGTGGCAAAGGTCTAAGCTGACTATCCAAATATACACAAAATAAATGGAAGAGTATCTACAAAAAAATATCGAACAATTATTATTTAAAGTTTTATCACATGCAAAAATTTATATTATATTACCGCAGAATCAGTTGGTAAGTGTTCATCCCACTTATTGCCAAGATATGATGAACCAGAATTCCATTGATAATCAGCAATACAAGATCCTTTTGCAAGCTCTTAAATGATATAAATTAGATTTTAGTGATTATTGTTATAATAAACCGAAGGACCCTGTAGATAAAGAGTTATGAATGGAATACAAGATGAATTTATAGTTAACTACATCTATACAGCAACAAAGCCCTTAATAGACCTCCACCTGAAATCTTTAGCAAGAACAGCTAGCTTCTTATGCAGCTAGAACTGTCTTATCCCAATTGATTCAATACTCAATTTGAAATGTTTGCCTCAACTGCTCTACCGGAGAGCTCTACTCCACATGACATCGCCCATATGTGCTCCAGACATAATACTCAAACGATTTTGACTCTATTGTTTCGATTTATTAAAAATATTTCAAATCCAAAAACGTCATTATTGCCCACACACTCCAACAGAGCCCTTCTATCGCTCACTTTATCTTCTAACCCTTGTATTCGTATTGTTACATGTTTTTAATTTCATATTTTTGATTAAATAGGTCCACTAGGTTTATAAATATAACAACAATAACAATATATATAGATAAAGATATAGTGAATTTGCATTCTAGTGCTCATCAAGGATTTATCTTAACATATAGTTAAGCATTATTTAAAACAATAGTGTCCTGGAAATTTCATTAAATATTTGAAGCAGTTTTTTAACACGTTAACCATTAGCAACAGAGAATCAAAAATTATATTTAGTTAAACTCACAAAACAAAGCCATATTCTGGTATTATTTGACTGTCAATCGCGACTCTAACTGATGATTGAATAACAGTCGAAAATCGTAGTAATTAATACGATAGTTCTGAAAACCGTCAAACATATGAATAAAGTCGCCCTTTTGTTTAAAAACAGCACGCACATATTTTATCCGGAGGACGACACTGAGGTTCGTACTCGCTCCCTAGTATTACATATCTAAAGTGACGGAATGCAGGTTCTGTATGAAGTAGATTGACGGTCAGTTATCCTCAGAAAGAGGAAAGCGACTTTTCTTTCTTTCTTTGGAAATAACTAAGCTGAAAATTCTTTGTCAAAAATTCCTGAACACATCCATAATCCAAAGCCTTCAACAAGACATCTTAGTCTTTATTAAATACGCAGTATATTTTCTGAATCGTTAGGTACGGTTTTAAGAACATATTGAGGTCGCAATGTTGCTTCTCTAGGGTTTTGTATCTTAATATACTACGGAACTTACGAATATATATCATGCAGTATGTTTGTTAAGGACTGAATTAATAATATGTGACAAAAAATGAAAATGATGGTTTTGTTAAATAAAAGAAACTGAATGCTTTCATTCTAAGTACGTAGAATCTATGCATTATATACCAGAAAAAAAAAAAATTATTAAAACTTTTATTAATTCTCGGCGAAAAAAAAGAGTTAAAATCATTATTAAATCAACTTTTGAGGAAACGATAGAGATGAAGCATAACTAAATTTAAAAATAGGTAAATTAACCAAAAGATTGAGTTTCTAGTGTTCTGAGACATATAATTAAATTTAAAGCATTCATAAATATCATTATAATCAGCGAACGACCATTAGACAACAAATTTTAATATAGTAAGTTATTCTAAACAACTTTTTTTGCTATACTATATGGTAATTTAGCCATTTTTGAGATATAAGAATATAAAGTTGGTACCTCTACTTATTGTTACAAGTTGTTTGTGTTAAGGGACACTATATGTGAAACAGAATATTGTTGTCACAATTCTGATTTTTCGGGCGTGCCAATGGATATAGTAGAGTTAAGTATTTCGTGCCATTTTTTTATTTACTCTATATGACAATTTAATTTACTTTTTAAAATATCGGGCTTGTATGTTGGACATTTTTACATTAAAAGCAGATAGCACATCTACTAGTTGTTACCAGTTACTTGTGCAAATTACATAGAAATTTAATATATATGTACTCAATAAAAATTCAATGTAAAAACTCCACAATTCTAAACATCGAAAAGTAAGCTGTATCAGCATACTGCGTAAAGGAAAAACAATATAACTGAGTACATACTTACTAATAAATGGACGTATCCATAAATCGGAATTAAACTCAATATTTTTTTTTTTTAAATGAATTATTTAAGCAACTAACAATGAGTTGCCAAAAAATGTGTGTAATATATGTATATCATTCATCAACTTATGACTGACGAAACTACTGTCGCGTTATTTACGCTAGTTTAGCTATCATCTATTTTTAGTACACATTTAACTGCTTAGTTTTTATAACAATTTTAAATTAGTATAATTTTGAATATAAGTATTGAATTTAATTAATTTAAGATATTACATGTATGTTTGTTGTACTAGTTAATTTATATACATCAGAACATGTAACTAGTGAATGTTGTATAACAGAACAACTATGTATAACTAATTAGTTATTAAATTTTTATCGTCCTGTTATAAATCCCATAATATAATACAAAGAAATAAAATATATTCATAATTAAAAATTTTATACCTTTTATGCGTTGTACTAAATACTCCTGATTACTACTAACTTCCAAAAATGGTACAATCAATGGGAGAATTGGAATATTTTGATTACAAAATTGTTGATTTTCTGCAGTTTTCTTTAAACGTTCCAACCCTATGTTACCAATTTGTATCTCTATAATGCCACGATTCTTTAACGTTGCATTAATATTATCAATTTCTCTGACTAAACGTTCCAAAATAGTTGTAGACATCCACTAAAATATATAAATTAATAAAAATAAATTAGAAATAAAAGAAAAACACCATACCCTGCGTAAACAAGCGACATATTGAGATAATTTAGCTGATGATATTTTCTTAATAACTTCAGAATTGCTGTCAGTGATATGATAGCCGCCTTCTTCATTTGTTGACGATTTTTGTGTTGTGGCTAAAAGCATTTGAAAATAAAAATATTTTACTAAACTACGATAGAGGAAGTTATTAATAAATTTTACTTGGTAGTGGCGCTAATTGATATATTGAAGTTTTAAGTGTATGTGCAGCGCTATGACAATAATTCCAGAATGCGTTTTTTACGTTACTATTGTGATAAAGTCCAGATTGGTCCGGCGTTTCATTCAAAGTCTCTAGTTCTGAAGTTTCTCTGCAACACAAAAACTTATTACCTTGAATAAATAAAATAAAAACCAGTAAATATTTTACTTTAAGTATTTCTCTAGACTTTCTTCATTTTCAATTAAATCTTCGCGCGTATAACGATAAGGTGATGCATAAGCGCTGTTATTGCTATAGTTGCTATTCTCTAGAGTATTAGGATTAGAAGAATTGATAAACGATTGATATTGCATTTGCTGCGAACTGAGATTTTGATGTATTGGAGAACCTTGCCTTCTGCTATGCAAATTAGACGTCGCTAAATTGCGTGCTATAATAAAATTAACAATGTTATCATTTTATCACAACATAAATATATTTAGTTTTATAATACAATCATTAAAGGATGAATGCCAGCTAAGGAAACTGCTGTCAATTGTTATTTCATTGCCATTATATTTCAAATTATCATTTATTTCATCTAATTCCCCAACAACAAATGATTTATCTAAATGAAAAATATTAATTTTAGGAAATCAAATTATTTGAATTAATGTAGCCTAAACATACCATTTTCATTAAATTGTAACAAACGTTGTTGTTCCATTGTCCCACGAAGAGGCACAGTCGATAATATATAATATAAATATTTTCCCACGCAAATGATACCGCTTATGGCTACATATGTTGTTAAGGCATACTCAACCCAATACCATTTAGAACAAGCACGCGGACATTTAAATGATAAATCATAAAACAAAAGTGCAAATAATATTACATAGATGACGCTCCATTTAAGGCAATAATTGGCAGATTTAGCGCGCATTCGTAAATCCAATCCATCTTGTAACATACCACTTTTTTTTACTGGGGAACTGAAAAATTTATTTTAATAAAAATGAATGAAAAAAAAATTAATTATTATTAACCTCAATTCTTTTGTAACATTATTTTTTGTATATTTGTGAGATCCTGTAAGACTTCCACCCGAACGTAAGACCGGCGTATGCGGTTTTAATACAGGAAATAATTTATCTGTGGTCTTAAACATGTTGCACTAACGATACAAAAGTGTTATATAGAATTTAATTTGCGCTATGCATATATATGTGATTTAATTTTTAACTAATTTAAAACTTCATGACAATACAATATTTTATTTTGAACTTCTATTTAATGCAATTGAAAACAATGTCAGTAGCACGCACATTTTCGAAAAATTTAGTGTTACCAAGTTTTTCATGACATTTCAGAACACTAATTGAACATACTCTGTCGAACAGTGAAATCTACGCTTATAGCGTTTGGTTTGAATTTATTAATAAAATACATATATTATCTCATAAACATTTATTTATTAATAGACTTTCAAATACTTATATTAAAAATAGTATTTACGCATCTAAAATATCAAATTAAATTAAAATACTCCACATTATAGTATAAATTAAAAACAAAATAATAACTTCACAACACTGAACATAATATAATTTGCGTATTTGGTTTAGTGCGGGAAACTACGAAACATTTGAGTCAGCAGTAAGTTAATGTTTATCTGCAAGAAAAGGAACTAAAATAATGGAGACTCTTTCTGAACGCAATTTAGAAAAGTGGAATAATCTAAGGTAAATTTATTAAATATCTACTACAAATATTCTGAACTTAATGTATTACAGCGATTTCGATAAACTGGAATTTTTATTTAATCCACTCAACCCACCGGATTGTATATTTGTAGTTGGAATATCAGAAAAAGAAATACAGCACATACCATGCCATAAACGAGTGTTGATGGATGTATCTTTAGTTTTTGCTACAATGTTTGATGGAAAATACTTGGAATCTGAGTCTAATTGCGAAATTCGCTTAGATGATGTAGAACCAATTGCATTCGAACAATTTAAAAATTTTATTTATTACGGCAATAAGCCAATTTTAAACTCTCTAAATGATTGTCTGCAGTTGATTTATTTAAGCCAGAAATATGAGATTAATTCACTCCTAAACGAGTGTCTTGTTACAATAAAGGAGAGGATGAAATATATAACCGTTTTGAATTTGGCAGAATTTTTTAATTCTCCACTTTTTATTACTCACCGCGCTTTGATTCAGTCAATAAATTTAATGAGGGAGAACAATGATTTGCTTCGAACTTCTCAGATATATAATATACCTGCACCAAGATTTATAATGCTTATGGACAAACTTTCATCTCTACTTTCTAAATCAGAACTTTTCCAAATGGTTGAAAATTACATTGAAAAAAATTATATGTCGCAACATGTGAATAATATGAATTTAAATAATGGAAAGTTATCGTATTCAGTACAGCATATAATTACTACGCTGTTGTCAAAAATAAATATTTTAAATATGAGCGCAAAAGAATTCTGCGCTGGGCCATTGCACTGTTCCTTTATAGATCCGTCCACAAAGCTGAGTCTGCTTGTGTCGATAAGCAAAGGTGTATTGGAAAAGTATACAATAAGGACAGAAATGATAAAATCAATGTTGTGTGGTGAGTCCAATTAATTTCTGTATTAAAAAAATTAATAAAAATTTGAAGCATCCTTTTGAATTTTTTTATTTTTATTAGCAAAGGTTTTTCAAACTGAACTTTTAATCCACTTCATTGTTCATTTTCTTGCTTGTGTTAAAAATATTAGATAAGTTGCTTTACATAAGTGTCATGTATAAATGTGTAATATATATTTATTATAAACATTCATATACCTATAGACATTCATATATCATATATACATTCATATTAAGTTCGTTAATGTTCGCTACAATTCGTTACAATTGTTAGTTCTCACTATACTGTGCTTGTTCGTGAAACTTAGCACTGGTTAATATAAATGGTTTTTTTAGTAACTTTTACAAAAATTAAATGAATTTTTAAAATATCAACAAAATCATATACTCGTATGTTGGGGTTTATTAGTTCGCATTATCGTGTTGAGATTATATATAGCAATGCTATTGCGTTTATTTGAATAATATAACATTTGATAATTGTTATTCACCGATTCTAAAAAAAAATTTAGAAATCATTTAAGTAAGATTTTATGGTATAAAATTTAACAAAATGAAAAACTAATGATATCAATTACATATTCTGCAAGTGTAAAGTCTCTTATTATAAGAATTAATATTGGGAATCGTTTTCAATATTAGTATATATATGCAGCACAAAAAGTACGTCACTAAACTGTTATAGTAGATATAATGTATATAATGTCTTTGCGGCTTATATGAGTGATATATAAGCAAACTTTCATGCGCCCTACACTAATTTATCAGATAGACCATTGCAAATAGATCAGATAAAACATTACTTATAGATGTCATTACGAGTGCAATGCAAGTTTGTTACTAAACTCATAATTCATTACAATCAGTGGCTTTAACAACACGTGTCAGGCCTTAATCGAGGAAGATAAAGTCACCTTCACATACTTCTGTTTTTAACTGTCGCTTATCAGTTGTTGGTGAGTTGTTCTTCATTATCTTATTCCTCAAGATTTAATATTTAGTTAAGTTGATGAAGGGGTATTATTATATGGTATTACTATGGTATTATTATTATTGATGCTCGCTGCGACACCTTACCAGTTGTTGGTGAGTTGTCTTCCATTATTCTTTTCCTCAAGATTCAATATTTAGTTAAGTTGTTAAAGGGTTTTTATTATTATGGCATAATAGTATTACTATTGTATTATTATTATTGATGCCCGCTCCGACACCTTTCTCCGTAAGCGAATCGTCAGTGAACACAATCGCATCATGTTGTTCATCAGCTGATAGGTTTGTTTGATATCCTCCCTGCTCCTTTTATTGCTTAGTTCAGTTTTAAAAAGTTTGGTAAACCTAAACTTTAAATTCGTTGTGTCCCATGGCATTGAAAATTTAGAACACTGTTTAAGAAGAATCTCTTGCGATTTATTTAGATGTCCGTTATGTTTGCTTTCTTCATTCTTAAAACTGCTCTTTCCGACTCCAAGTTTAGCCTGCTATGGTAAATGGGTAACGAATATAACAAAAAAAATTCTGTTTAAAAAGACTTGAATTATTTATAATTTAATATAATTAATATAAAATATAAAAACATATATATAAAATATAAATATAAAATAACAAAAATTTAATATAATATAATATAATATATTTAATATAAAAACAAAAATTTAACATATAGTACATATTCGTATAAATATATTTACATATAAATATTATTATTTACAAATTAATAATATAATGTTATTTTTTTCACTGACACTTCTTCAACTAAAATTAATTAGAACTAGTCTACAACTCTTAAGACAGAAAAATATTAATTTGGAATTGATAAATGAAGTAATTATTCTTTTCTTAATGCAAATACTTCAGCATTCTCATTACAATATCATTTCTCTTCTTCTATATTTATTCTATTTGGAACATATGGATATCGTATTTCATTCAATATCTTTGTTCGTTGGTTCAGTACTTTCAAGTAAATTGAATTATTTTTTTTTTGCAGGTTCATCTAAGGATTCAAATGCAACTGACAATGGAACTACAGATAACTTCGGATTCCAACAACAAAAGCATGCTAATCCATTTGCTCTAAGTTAGTCTCATAAAAAGTATTTCATTTAATATCTTTGTTCGTTGGTTCAGTACTTTCAAGTAAATTGAATTATTTTTTTTTTTTGCAGGTCCATCGAAGGATTCAAATGCAGCTGACAATGGAACTACAGATAACTTCGGATTCCAACAACAAAAACGTGCTAATCCATTTGCTCTTAGTTAGTCTCATGAATCGTATTTCATTTAATGTCTTTGTTCGTTGATTCAGTACTCTCAAGTAAATTGAATTTATTTTTTTTTTTTGCAGGTTCATCTAAGGATTCAAATGCAACTGACAATAGGACTACAAATATCTTCCAATCAAGAAGTATTGCTGTTCCATTTCGTCGTTAGTGTCATGAATCGTATTTCATTTAATATCTCTGTTCGTTGATTCAGTACTTTCAAGTAAATTGGATTTATTTTTTTTTTTTGCAGGTGGTTCATCTAAGGGTTCAAATGCAACTGACTATAGCACTACAAATATCTTCCAATCAACAAGAAGTGCTGTTCCTTTTGGTCTCGGTTAGTCTCATAAATCGTATTTCATTTAATATCTCTGTTCGTTGATTCAGTACTTTCAAGTAAATTGGATTTATTTTTTTTTTTTGCAGGTTCATCTAAGGGTTCAAATGCAACTGACAATAGGACTACAAATATCTTCCAATCAACAAGAAGTGCTGTTCCTTTTGCTCTGAGTTAGTGTCATAAATCGTATTTCATTTAATATCTCTGTTCATTGATTCAGTACTCTCAAGTAAATTGAATTTATTTTTTTGTTTTACAGGTGGTTCATCTAAGGATTCGAATGCAACTGGCAGTAAGTATTTAAAAGTATTTCAATGACCCAACGTTTAAAAATTTTTTTCATAGATTAAGATCGATTTGAATAACCAGTTCTAAAACAACTACATCCAAATCTGAGCCAATCGATATTATTTTTTATATTCTCTATCATAATAGTTAACTAAATTCTACATTAGAAGCAAATACACTGAAAAATTAAAAAGTTTTTCTAAAAAAAATCGTCGATTTGTATAACATAACATATGTCTATTAAATTGAAATTATTAATTTTATTTAATTAAATATTTTAGAAATAAAGAAAGTTTTCTAACATAAATATGTGTTTGAATCGGCAGTGTATATGGCAGCTATTTCTAAATCTACACCGATTAAAAAAAAATTTTGTTTATTATCTTATATGAATATAAGTTTTTTGTATACCAAATTTTATTTAAATATATTTATTAAAAGTGGGGAAATGCTATTTTTAATTTTTCATGTCATATGGCAACGAACAGGATATACCTGTTCATTTCTGCCAATCCGACTAATGGTTTATATTCGAAACATTTGTGCCAAAATTTCATTCGAATAACTAAATCATTGAGGAGCTGATTTTAACTAAAACTAATTGACAGACAGATCAAGCTTATAAGAAATACATATACTTTATAGGGTATATGATGTTTAAATCCAATGCAAAACTCTTGACAAACCTCATACACATTTTTTTGTGAAGTGTTTTGTAAA